TGACCTCCACGTGGTTTCTTCGAACCTGGAGCCGTAACTGCGAATAAGGCGCGGTGCGGTAGACGATACCTAGGTATGCGCAATACGTGTCCTAACCGGTTAAGCCGACTAATTTGAATTCGATGAGACAACGAATTCTCCATAAAATCATTACCAAATAGGCGGTGCCCTACCTCAGAGATGCTTAAACGCTCGCTCCATTCAACCCACGCCAGACTACGTAAACATCGAAAACCCCTAGACGACGAATATCTTCCACACGCAACCATAGAGCAGAAATGACCGCACACTGGCGCAGTAAACACGATCCTTCAGTTTCAACGGAACGTCGTGTCTGCAACAAAGGTGCTTCAGTCCTGATTAAGCTGCTTGAGCCTTGGAAATGCGTGCGGTTACTTCATTGACCATGCTACCATCATTTGTAACGCAGCTACCTAATTAGGTGAAACGTTCCACTACAGCTAATTCTTGAACCCAAACATCAGCGCTGGGGTAGACGACGCCCAGTCTTGTAGCATTACTTTGCACTTTGAAGGTGCAAAGCGCATGCCGAAAGCAGTTACAGAACTTGAAATTTTGTTTAAGACGAAATTGAACAGGAATGGCGGAATAGGGCACCCTTGACGAACACCACTCCTGATTCCGAACGATTTACTTAGCTCACCGTAGACCCTTACGCTACCAGAAGTATGCAGTTACAGCGACCGCAACAGGTTTACATACTTCCGCGACATTCCTTCGCGAAGCAGTGATCACATTAGAGCTTCACGGTCAACTGAATCGAAGGCTCATTTTCGGTCAAGGAATACTGCCATTGTTGGCCGACGATGTGTGATGAATAAGTACATCGGAGAACGGAGAATCATCGGTCACAGGTCAGTGGGCACCACTTGGGTTCACTAAAATAAATCCGAAATGATGTCCTGATGTAAGTCCACTTTCTGATGACTAAGGGGCTTCTGCTTCATATTAGATCACACGTCAAAAACGAGAACCAGTTATAAGAAGAATGGTCAGGGGGCTCGCCTCAACCGCTTGCTAAACCGGACAAAGCGTCCTACGAATATGAAAAATGATATAGGGCAACCTTGTCGCATTTCACTGGAGACCGTAAGTGTCGAAAGCTGGTCATAGACTCCAACCCAATCTGAGATATAACTATACAACTCTTTGAGGATGGACACATACTTCTCAGGTACTCCATTCCTCAGCAAACAGTTCCATAGTGCAGTCCTATTGACAGAGTCGAAGGTGAACGTCAAGTAGCACACCGGCAGTTGGATCGTCTGAAGTTCGTACTGACGAGGAATAGACGGTTATCAGAACAGAGCTAACAGCTGTCGGCCGTTTTCCGAGCAATAGGAATCTAGCCCGAAAGGACCTCCTGGATGCGCCTCACTCGAAGTCAATCGGCTTACCCTGGTCTTCATATCTCTTGCTAAAACCACGGTATCAGCCCGATTCACTTTGCGCAAGAGATCCTGTAGTTTTTGGTAAAATTCATTTTGATTGCAGCTGGGTTACAGTTAGTAGATGCCTACGTTGAGAAGACAAGTTACTTCTTTCGGAGCGACGATTGCTTACTTTGCACGAGCCTCTAAATCTTTCTGCGCATAATCTAATGTCGAATGGGATCGCGGCTTCAGCTCTCTCACACCAACGCCACAGCATCAGGGTCCTCAGAAAGACGTACGTGAAGCTTCGCTGGTGGGCTTGATGGGGACGTCAATGGGATGGTGGAGCTGGAGTATTGAATGCGAGTTTCTTGGACACAGCACACCGATGGCTAGGGTTTCGAGGGTACGAGATAAACATGCCTGTCGTCCAATACGCATTTGAATACGCACGTTAAATGTGGCTAGCTTGAAAGGGCATCGAGGAAGAAGAGCGTGAACTGGTGGAGGGTTCGGTGAGACTTGAAAGCTATTCGTGGCAAGACGCGAGAGAATATGAGCAGGATTTTCATCTGAGACACAACTGGTAGTATGATCGTCTGAAAAGCCTGAAGACAATTGAAATGGTTTAGAGGGGTGTCTATGAGGTGGAGGAATAACTGGGAGATAGGAATATGTGCACCGTGTAGAACGTTTTTTCTCTGAGAAAGCTGAGTGAATCCTTAGAAAAGTAAAGTTCTCTTTTTGCGTAGAAACCAGTGCAAGTAATGATCCTTGGTTGACCGTAGCCTGCTGAAACTACCGATTAAGCACTGCAACTTCTCATTTTCATCTCAGTCTGGCCGCCATCCAGAAACCCGAAGAAAAGAGCCGAGAATTTCTACAGTCGAAGCGCAGTGGGATCGCATCATAGCTCACAAGTGCAAGAAACTGGGTGTAAACGAGAACTCGCTACCGTATCAAATTCAGCTCAATTAGATTCCGCTGGTTAGAACACGTTTTGCGTATGTCTAGTGATCACCTACTGCACGGTGCGTTATGTGCAGTGGTCACTATAAGCTGGTGAAAGCCACATGGAAACCAGTAGATGACGTGGAAACGAAGCATGAAGAAATGCACAGAGCGATCAGGTAGAGTACGTCCATTGTTGGTTGGGGTCCAAAAACTCCGTAACCAAATGGTTGGTTATGGCATCAAACCGACAGCAGTGGCGACCTTGCTATCACATTTTATCCGTCCAGAATGCTTGAATTAGTGTGCATGTCCAGTTGGACTGTGTTCTGTGTTGACCATAGACATTCCCTTTCTTTTCCCGTCCTTAAAAATAGGTCCAATCATTATCCTCCTTACACATTCTTACTGGCATTATGCATTATGAGTTTTGCAGAGATCAGTTCGCTGCACAATGATGAAGGTAACTCATCATTCTTGTAAACGCAGTCCATGTGATTGCTCCATTTGGAGCCGCTGGCCACGAAAATAACCAGGACAGTGTGGCACACGCGTCTCTTCTCGGTTAGTCTGGATTCAGGATTATCAGCCAGCTCC